CAAGTAATTTTAAACGATATCACCAAGTCCTATCCTACACATAACATAATCATAAAACATATGTCCGTAAATATTTCATCATGTCTCAAGTTGGACTACCTGCCCGCATTTACTAGATGAGCGAAACCTTTGTGGTCGTTATCAATGAGCCGAATTGATTTTTAGGGGGGAGTTGCGTTATGTTTGGGGCTTGAGACCGTAGAAGATTTTTACGCTTTCTACCGACTCGTATCTCCCCACTGTTTGGAGGATCATTGGTCCAAATGATTTGAATTATTTTCGTTTGGTATTTCGTTTTTTTTTTTAGTTGATTTGTTTTTTTTTTTTTTTCGTCTTTATTGAATAATTACTCAATGTTTTTTATCTATGTTTCAGGATTCTAATTGGTAGAAACTAATGCCAATTAACCCGCTGTTTGTTGCCAAAGTTGGGTTGTGAAGTTTTGGGTGTGTATATTAGTGTCTTATGAATTTGTAATTGGTTTCTATTTTGGCCATACTCTTTTTATAAATGGGATGCTGAAAATACTATGTTGAATATCATGTTTAATTTCTCCTTTCTGCTAAGTACTAGCTCACGATTTATTCGTTTTTTTGTTTTCCGTTTGTTTAACCATCTTCAAGAGTGCGGGGTTGGGCTGCGCTTTAGAGTAGGCTCGCCAAAGATCGGCTTCTGTTGGTTTTTGACCCGCTTGTTTTGCTTCATTGTCCAATCCTAATTTGAGTGTGGCTGTTGTGTGTGGAGGTGTGAGCCCCTCCCCCCATATTATAACTATTCGCTAAGATGTCAGCTGTGTTATAGGTGTTGTGTGATATGTTGATGTTTGATTTGCATATTTGTTTAATGAAATTACTGAATTTCAGTATAGTAAGAGTGGTTTTTGGTGTTTTAATATTTATTTGGGTTTTGTGTTTGCCCTAAGCTGATGGCCAATTAACACTCTTTTTTTGAAAAAATGTTGCCGTCTTAGTTGATTGTTACAGTGTGGTGTTTGATTTTGTGTTTGGGTGGTTGGTTGATTTCGTATGTTTTTTTTCATATTATTTTTTTTTTTTATTTTTGGTGTCGACTCTGTAGAATAAGGACTGAAGACATGTTTTGTATTAGTATCAGCTTGAAGTGCCTTTCTGCCTAAGGACACTCACATATATTTGGGGTTACCCACTTCAATGAGTTTTGGGCCCGGGATTAATCCAGAGAAAAATTTGGCTCGGTGTTTTTGACTCCTTTTGGTGGCGCATTTTTTCTAGATTTTCTTTCGTAATTGCTTTTGTATTGCGGGTAGTATTCCCTCCCTATATTTTTTTTAGTGATATATTCAATTAACAAAGTGGGCTGGTTGTTCTTCATTTTTGATTTTCGTTAATGTGGAGTGTCAGTTCTCGTTTATTTTTGATATATTGAGTGTGTTTTTTATGATTTGATGATTTTAATGCCTAACATGCTGATTAACCCCTTATTGCCCAAAAAAAACATAAATCAGGAATTTCCCCCTATATATCTTTCATTTTTGGTTTTTGGTTACTTTTTTTGAGGTGCACTTACGAAGGGTTGGATATGGAACAAGTGGTGGTAAATTTTGGTCACTTGTTTTTCTTCCTGTCAAGCTGATCTCACGTGAGTCTTTCTTCATTAGATTTAGGGGATTTAACCCTCTTTCGGATGTTGGATCCAGATAACGGGCTATTCCCCCTTCAATTTTTGTTCAATGACGGTGGTTCCAGTGAGCGGAAACCACAAATCAGTATCTTGCCAAAAAGCTGTTTTTGAAGCAAACACGTCATAATACATTCTTTTATTGGTTTTTTCTCTTTTATTCATGTGTTGAATACCACGACATCAATCACAGTCTGCTGCATACCTCATTGATGACATTGGCCAAGTGTTTTGGGGGGGTGTGTTCAGGGCCCTAAATGAGATATTTGCAGTGGTGTTCAGTGGAGTTACGTTCAAGCAAACTTTGAAAGGTGGTCTGACTTGAAGTCCAATTTGCCAACAAGGGCTAGTCTCGCTTCATGTTTCATCCTGCTCAGTATATCTGCCGACAATGCGACAAGCAGTATCCTGCTGCAGAGAAATCGGGTAGTACTGGCAGGTGCATTTGAAGATGGAGAAGTCGTCAAAGTCTGAATGAATGTGAGCGCACTGTGTGCTCTAGTCTTGACTGTTGGGGGGTTGTACAAGCTACACAACGAGGAAGCGCAATATCCTCGGCTCCCGCTATATCAGATCACGCAATGTGATTACCGGGCCTGTCGCCAATCTGGAGGCTCCTATTGCACGACGATAATCATGCCTGCTCGACCGACTATACGATGTTTACTGTGTTGCTGATTACATTAGCTGGCCAGCAGGGAAGCGTGCGTGGCGATGAGTGTATATGTGCACTGCCTGGCACTCAGCGGAAGTTTGTCACAACTACCGGAATCCCACGTATCTTCATGCTCAAAATGTGTGTTCGGTGGATGCTTGTGTGTACCAAACCACAATCAGCACCAATACTTCAGGCCCAACAGCAGCATTGTGCATATTCACTAGCGGTTGTTGTGTTATCGTGTGCTGCCGCATGCATCTGTCGGGATGCCTAACACCCGCACAATGCTCTATACAAGACTTGCGTGATGTTAATATCGAACGTGCCGGCTAATGAGTCTATCGGCTGTCTACACCAAATAATGCAGAGTGTGGGTTTCAGGCGCTGCTTTACAGGCCCCAGCTCTCTCGCATGCTCCATGTGATCAGATGTGTTTTTGTCTCCCGCTACCTGCCCTACGTTTCTTTACAGACTACTGCATGAGGGCGACGTTCAGTCTTCGCTTGCATTCTCTTGCTCTGTGGGCTCATTATGACTCGGCTATTTTGGGTGTGGTGTCCCTCATACTAAAAAACAAAAATCTTAAGTTCAGCTCCAACCTAGCTTCGCCTTTCGTACTCGCCCACGAATCGATTGCGGTCACGTGACCAAGTGTCTGCCCATCCAATACTCGCTGTCGACAGAGCGCATGCTTTCGACCACACACATGATATGCACTGGCCCTTGATACTTGAGATGCGATACGGGTTCGCTCCTCGGTGTGCGGTTGGGTCAGAGACACCGTACACAAACCCTCGCTGAGCATTTGGCACCAGTTCCCGGCCATGCGCTTGGTGCCTAAATTAGCCACTACCAACGCTCGTAGATACCTCTCGTACCACTTGTACAGTAATCGAATCTGGCACTCAGCTGACGGTTAGAGAACTATTAAGAGGCTCTGATTTGTACTGCACATCGACAAGATTGTTGTGTTTTCTTGGGGGGGCGGTGCAGCATGTGTGTGCCCTGTGTTGCGCTGACTGCGACAGAAAATGCCCAAGTGTCGGTTATTGACTGGACTTTTGTCATCAGTGTGTTGATATCTGTGGTGGTTTTGATTTGGGTGATGTGTAGGGCAATGTGGGTGTTGTGTGTGAGAATCGATGGTTTGGGAAATATATATTTATATGTCAGTGTGCAGCGGCAGCAATGGCGGCAGCCAGTGTTTGTTGTAGTCTAGATGAGCATTTGGACGGCATTTACAGGAAATTGTCGGCAATAATAGGTGAAAGAGAGTACAGAAACATTAAGACTTTGGTAGTAAATAGATTTCGTATTTATTTTGCATTATATTTTATTGAAACGCCCCAAGTGCCTGTGTTGTGTCACCACGTCGTTTCATTTTCCAATAATGTAAAGGGTCCTTGTGCGACATTGCTTCTTCCTTGTTTCTTTATTCCATTTTATCGTATCTAATATTAATTAATTAGTAATTAAGACGCAGTAGTAGCGTCATTAGCAAATAAAGCAAAATACCAATAAAGCAATTAGTAATTAAAAGAGTATTTAATTCCCGCAATAACCCTACCGTGTGGGCCCTAGTTGTAACTCTTGTTTGAACTGTTAGCTTGCTCCCCGATGCGTTACTTTGCTTCGGCTGGATCCCGGCCACGGATAGCGAGTTCGCCGGAGGACCTCCCACGGCCACCTGCATAGTACTGCGATGGTGGTAGATCTGCGAGCAAATCAATAGAGCCGCGTCAGTGCAACGATACCGAATCTATCCTCTGGTACGTGGGCCTACCCTGTACTTAAATAAACATCATCAACACCCTCTCCCTAACCTAATGACAAAGGTGCAGGACAACGATAATTGTGAGTAGATGCAGCACTGTTCGACATGCAACAATTTGCGTAATAACACGTCCATTAACGTCGTTCCTGGTTTATCGGCCTGTGCGTTGAACAGTTTTCGTTAACATGCAGTATTATGGCAGAAAGGCAGAAAGGCCTAACATGCAGTATTGGACGCACAAGCGCTCATGTGTAATAGTGATATCAAAAGATCATATAAAATAAAATAAACATAATCATGAACTCTTGTTGATTCATGGTATACCCATGGTTTCTCAACCCATTATACATATTTCTTGTGTATTTTTAGTCATTTTTTACAGTTGCGTAAATCTATACATTTGTAAAAACTTGCTGTCAGGCAACATTGTCCTTCGATGCGACTATGTGAAAACAGCAACGTACGCCATCCGCGGCTACTGATGGTGATCGCGCTTAAACTTATATATATATATCAAGAGTACATAATGGGAGATATATATATATATATACATATACATATATTATGAGATCAACAAACATATCTATAACACAAAATATATCTCTAGCAATTATATGTAATGTGTAATATGTAATATGTAATTATACTTTGACGGCTGGAGAGCTGTTCCTGCCCAGTGGTTATTTTAACATAAACAGTATTTAATGCCCCAATTGCAGTCATTCCAACTGCTATTGTATGCAAATTATTGTTACCTTTGGTTTTTAACTGTGGATAGCATATTCTGTCATTTTGCTGCTGGCATTCTCTTTCTGAAGAAAATACCAATTTATCTCTAGGGTAAAATAGCAGAGGATATAATGAACACATTTGGAAACTTCTCAATTTTCAAGAATATATTTACGGATGTGTTCCTACTTCGGTTCAGGTATGAATATTACATTGATTCCATTAATATATTACATCAAGAGCTTAAAATAATCTTAGCATGTCGTCACATTCAATGCATTAATAACATAATGTAATATAGAATAATAATATAATTTAAATTAAAAGAGTGTAACATAATATAATATAGTATAATATAATGTTGTGTAATGTAACATAACATAGGATGACATAAGTTCAGGAGTGTATAATGTAGATAACATAACATAGCTCCTGATAACATACTATAATATAATTAAATTAAATTTCGTATATAATATAATAACATATATGTGACCTGCTCTAGCATAATACGGACTAAGTCACAAGTCATTGTTTTGAGTAATGAGCACGCACACATGTCAATGCTGAAAATGGCCTACCTGGACAAAAATAAGATTTTTACAAAAATAAGTTTCTAAGTGCATATTTAATCCGAATATATAGGTTCAGATATCTCTAGATTATTATGGGCCTTTTTTTTATGGGCCTTGTATTGCTCATCCCCGACTGGGCCCCTTACCCGGAACGCTTTATCTTAAAAGCGGCATATTCCGGAATAAGTCGGTTACCGATCTTCAAATTGCTGTAGATCGGTCAATTCTTTAGATATAGCCAAATATTATATATTGACCATTTTAAAGGTAATTAAATGATCTATTCAGATATGCACATAACTCAATTTGTAGAATTTCCTACTTAATCCTGGTTTTGGTGGAGCGGGTCACATATAAATAATTTACTATATGGGTACTTTGCAGAGAACATCGTGTGCCATGAAATAAAAACCAATATTGTTGATTAAAATTAATGTTGCTTGCTGTGAGGTGCAGCACCTATCAAGAATTTCACGCCACTAATGGCTCTCACAATGTGCTGTAAAGAAAGTTTAACCTAGTAGATGAGGGCAGTATAATATATCAAATCTAGTAAAACAATTTTATATTTAAAATTAAAATTAAAAGTAAAATATTTCAAAACGCACAGCAACAGTCTACCACTGATCACGACTCTAACCAACTCTCTCACTTCTCGCTCAACCATCAACTATCTCTCTATTCCTAGAAACCATCTTCACACTACATTTAAAGGGATATATACTACACCCTAGAATTTTATGGTATATTCTGATAGGAAGGGCATATATAATAGTATGTATCTACAAACTTCTATAATTATTCATTCACAATTGTCCCAAAACAACAGTGAGTTTCAAAATCGTTATTTTTGGCTGCTGAAATGACACCCTGCAATTGTGCTGCCACCCTGGAGAAGTTGCACTTTTTCCAATTATTTTGCACGTTACAGACTGAGGACTAATCACAAAAGTGCAATTATATTTATACCTAACTGCTATTTAACAGAACTATTTTTATTTCAGGACAAACTCATCCACATAACTGAATCTAAAAGTTTTTTACAAGATATTGCAATCCTTAAGTTCTTATCTTAAATTAGTAAATTAAGAAACAACCGATTCACAATTACGATACGTAACGTTGAAAGTAGATGGGCTAGTACTAGTAGTGGTCCCATTGTCATTGTAAGAAACGATACAGCTGTTACTTTTAAAACAGAAAAAAATATTTCTAATCAATATTGAACAATGAAATTTTTATGTAGCGTAATTTGAACCTAGAGTCATGTAATTAATCCCTTTAAATTGACTACATCGCAAATTTTCTATGGTGTATATTATTTTGTAAAATGTAAAAATTTTGTTGCAATTTTTTTACATGAAAAGTAAGTACTAACGGTACTAAATGTATCCTCAAATTCTTACCTGATAAGATTGTTTCTCAACAAGTTAAAAATCCAAAAAACCTGGGCGATTTGATATATTGATCACGACATTAAATGCTTGCTATGGCCTATGTATGAGTCACAAATGTTTGTTTACATCGAACAGAATAGCAAAATAGGAAGTATAATGCAGCAATTTAACCATAAAAAGTGAACAGAATCACTTCTATTTTGTGAAAAAGCGACAGGAAGTATAATGCAGCAATTTAACCATAAAAAGTGAACAGAATCACTTCTATTTTGTGAAAGGTGGTGGCCACCCGGTGAATTTTATCCGGACTAAAAGAGGTTCCGGGCCATCAGTGTCCAGAAAATCGGTGGTGTACCTGTACTAACATAGATGATAGAGTATATATGTATGCATATCTGTATATATGTTTATGTTAGATATGTATACTTTGAATAGATATGTTCGTGGTTATATATGCTTAGGATGCTAGAGGAACACCCATACACAATTATGATGTTATACTTATAGCATGAAGTGTAATATGTTTCTGTTATTTGTGCCAACACAAGTAATTTTAACACGATATCACACAGTCCTATCCTACACATAACACAACATAAAACAATGTTTCGTAAATATTTCATCATGTCTCAAGTTGGACTACCGCCCGCATTACTAGAGGGAAACTTTGTCGTTATCAAAGCAATTAGTGGAGCGACTGAGAGCCAAAAATTTAGCTCGACCCCTCCCCACTTTAGAACAAGGCAAATGAGATATCGTTGGATTCGTTAGGATGTCTGCTTTATGAAAAACAATGTTTTACAGTCAGATTCTAATTAAAACATGGCCAATTAACCCCTTTTTTGCAAAATGTGAATTTTGGAATATCAGAATAATTGTTATTTTGGCACCTTAAAAGACTGAAAACATGTTAATATCACATTAATTCCTTTCTGCTAAGGACACTCACATTATTTCGGGTTTTAACCCACTTCAATGGGGTTTTGGGCTCCTTAATACCCCAAAATCGGGGGTTTTACCCCTTTTTGCCATTTTCCAATCCTAAGTTTTGATGCAGTACCCCTCCCCCATATTATAACTATTCGTAAGGATGTCAGCTGTATGAATATTGATGTTTGATTTGCATATTTTAATGCTAACATGGCCAATTAACCCTTTTTTGAAAAAACCCATAAAAATGTGAATTTTGGAATATCAGAATAATTCTTATTTTGGCACCTTAAAAGACTGAAAACATGTTAATATCACATTAATTCCTTTTTGCTAAGGACACTCACATTATTTGGGGTTTTAACCCACTTCAATGGAGTTTTGGGCCCATTAATACCCAAAAATTGGGTGTTTTACCCCTTTTTGCCATTTTTCAATCCTAAGTTTTGATGCAGTACCCCTCCCCCATATTATAACAAAACAAATCTGGTCTCATTTGATTCGTAAGGATGTCAGCTGTATGAATATTGATGTTTGATTTGCATATTTTAATGCTAACATGGCTGATTAACCCCCTATTTGCCAAAAAAAACATAAAATCAGGAATTTCCCAATATCTCATTTTGTTGTTACTTTATCACTTACAAGGTTGAAAACAAGTAAATGTCACATTGTTTTCTTCCTGTCAAGGACACTGACACATTAATTAGGGATTAACCCTCTTCAGTTGGATCCAAATAACGGGCTATTCCCCCTTCAATGTTCAATGACGATGGTTCCATGAGGAAAACCAACAAATCAGATCTTGCCAAAAAGCTTGAAGCAAACACGGATGAAATTCTTATTGTTTCTCATCAGAATACCACGACATCATCACAGTCTGCTGCATACCTCATTGATGACATGGCAATGTGTCAGGCCCTAAATGAGAATCATTTCAAGACGTTCAACAAACTTGGAAAGGTGGTTCTGAACTTGAAGTCCAATGCCAACAAGGCTAGTCTCGCTTCATTCATCTGTCAGTATATCTGCGACAATGGACAAGATATCCTGCCTGCAGAGAAATCGGTAGTACTGTCAGGTGGATTTGAAGATGGAGAAGTCGTCAAAGTTCTGAATGAAGTGGGTGTGTCTAGTCTTGAGGGGTTGTACAGCACACAAGAGGAAGCGGATACTCGCCTCGTATTACACGCAATAACGTTGTCGAGAGGCTATTATCCACGGATAATCATTTGCTGTGACGACACATGTTCTGGTGTTGCTGATATATTACTGGAGCAGGGAAGCGCTGGCCGATGAAGTGTATATGCATGCTGGACACTCAGGGAAGTTTGTCACAAAGGAACGATTCATACCTGTACACCACATCAGTACCAAACTTGGCAAAGCAGCATGCATGTCCTTACCGGCTGCGCATGCTCTGTCGGGATGTAACACGACAAGTGCTCTATACAGACTTGGAAAGCGAACGGCTTATTCAGCTCTCACCAAAAATGCAGAGGCCTTACAGAGTCTGGACTCATTCCAAGATGTCCCTACTTTCTTAGATACTGCAAGGCGATTTGTTCTCCTCATGCATGGTAAAAAAAACAAAAATCTTAGTTCACTCAATGAGCTTCGTTTCGTACTCGCCACAACCACTGACAAGCCTGCATCAATACTGCCGCTGACAGAGGATGCTTTCGCACAACATGTATTGCATGCCCAATACCAAGTTGCAGTGTGGTGTCAGAGACACGTCACAAAACCTGTGAGCATGGACCCAGTTGGCCATGGTTGGCATGTAAATGCAAAAGGTGAACTCTGTCCAACATTGTACCAGAATGAATCGGCACCAGCTGAGGTTAGAGACATAACTCATTTGTACTGCACAGACAAAGATTGTCGTGGACAGAAATGCCAGTGTGTTATTGCTGGACTTTTGTCATTTGTATCTGTGGTGGAGAATGTGAGAATCAGCGGGAGATAAGTGAGGTTGAAAATACAGATGAAGTCTGAGGTCATACGGACATGACGGTGTAAAAGGCAGTATGTTCAAACACTAACAATATTCTCAAAAGGTTATTTGGAGCCAACTGAAGACGGTTAATTCCTAATTAATGTGTCAGTGTCATTGACAGGAAGAAAACAATGTGACATTTACTTGTTTTCAACCTTGTAAATGATAAAGTAACAACAAAATGAGATATCGGGAAATTCCTGATTTTATGTTTTTTTTGCAGATAGGGGGTTTAATCAGCCATGTTAGCATTAAAATATGCAAATCAAACATCAATATTCATACAGCTGACATCCTTACGAATCAAATAAGACCAGATTTGTTTTGTTATAATATGGGGGAGGAGTACTGCATCAAAACTTAGGATTGGAAAATGGCAAAAAGGGGTAAAACCCAAAACCCCATTGAAGTGGGTTAAAACCCAAAGCTATTAATTGTTATTAGCAGAAAGGAATTAATGTGATATTAACATGTTTTCAGTCTTTTAAGGTGCCAAAATAACAATTATTCTGATATTCCAAAATTAACATTTTTTATGGGTTTTTGCAAAAAAGGGGTTAATTTGCCATGTTTTAATTAGAATCTGACTGTAAAACATTGTTTTTCATGAAAGAGACATCCTAACAAATCCAACGATACCTTATTTGCCTTGTTCTAAAGTGGGGAGGGGTAACTCCTTAAATAAGGTCCTGTTTGGGTCCCGGTCGCTCCACTAAATGTCTGATGGAGATGTTTTTTCAGTGTTTTCAAGGCTGCATTACACTGTTCACAAAACCCTAAGAAGTAATTACAGCTCTGTTGAGATATACCCATTAATCGAATCGAGGCGATCGGTGAAAGCATGAAACATTACGCACATGCATATAACTTACACTTGTCTCACTATGTAGGATATGTGTGGCTCTGCCGTGATTTTAACATCGGACACGGCTCTCACTTAATGATAGCGACTACCGCCAACCAGGACTCCCCTCTCTCTGAGGGACTTCACCCAATTCTGGGCATCGATCTATGGGAGCATGCGTACTACCTGAAGCACCAGAATGCTCGAGCTGCCTACATCGACGATTGGTGGCGTGTTGTTAGCTGGGATGCTGTAGCTCAGCTGGACAAGTGGTGGTCAAAGAGGAACATGCACGACGAACTGTGAACGCGCTCGGCACAATTTGGTTAATTTCCTATCTATGTCTAACCCCATCTGTATACTGCACACTGTCGTTGTGTGATGTTTGCTGAATTGCTAACAGTGTGCACGGCAGCCATATTGCCGTTATTCAGCCAGCTTTCCAACCATCAGTCCCTTGCTTTGATTTGCTATAGGCACTGCATTCAGTTCTTGGCAGTGCAAAGCGAGTTTGTGTATTTAAATTTATACCCACAGCTACGTTGCAGGACATATTAAGAGGAAATCAACGTGTGTTTACTCGCTCTGCCGTGGTGCAGTAGCACCGGTACAATGGACTCAGAGAACTTTCAATTACACTAAATCTAGGTAACATCACCATAATGGTGATGTTACCTAGATTTAGTGTAATTGAAAGTTCTCTGACTCACTAATCCAATGGGAGAGATGCAACAGATAGCAGATCATAATTGGTTTTATAAACAGTTTTGATATATAAGATAAGAATGAATTCATTTGGTGACATGCACGAGCATGACCACACGTTGGCAGTGAGGGACTGATTCACAGGTGAGAAGTATGGTATTCAACTGGTTTAGCTTTTATGGTGCTATTATTGTGCAATCAAGTTAGTGTTAGCAAAAAAGTTTCCTGTAATAACGCTGTATTAAGAGAAAACTTGTTAGCGCGCAAAAGCGGTTATCCTAGATCAGACAATCTGCGTTGTTGAGTTGTTGGCTAGTTATTGTATTGTACGCGTTAAGACTAGATATCAGGCTAGTACGCACGCACTCACGCACGCAGGCGCATTCATTGTCAATATTCGTTTGCTGTGGTATGATCAGGAGTGTATAATAATCTATTATTGTGTTTTTTTATACACTCCTAATATGATGGCATAGAAAATGTGATCCCAGCATGAGAACAACGTATATCGATCGGTTCGTGCCGAAAGTGACAAATATATTTATCGGCTGTCGGTGTTTTTCCTATGAAAGCGTGTAACGACACCACTTTTATGCACTGTGTGTGTGCATGCGTGCGCGCGTGTGTGTATAATATATATCAGGAGTAGATAATAGGGATTATTACTTATTATTCTATATAATTTTATAAATTCTAATTTTAATTCGAATAAATTCGAATAAATTCGAATTCTAATATATAAATTCCCTATTATCTACTCCTGATATATATGTTATAATATATATATGCATATATATATATATATATATATATATATATATATATATGAAATTCCGTTTCCCAAATGCAAGTTAAAATACACAGAAAATATTGAAATAACAACAACTGGGTACATAATTATGCACTGTGCATAATGAGTGCATAATTATGTCTCCAGTTGTTGTCATTTCAATATTTCTTTATATATATATATATATATATATATATATATAGCGTGTGTGTCTGTTACGTCACCAAAATAGATGATACTAGGTCTATATAAGTCTATGTTTGATGGCGCGTGAAGGTTTTTAGAGCTTGTGTGTTTCGACAGAGCAGTACGTGCAGTAACAACGTGTGGCATGATACGCCTGCAAAGTGATTCACATAAAAATATATACGACTTTGTTTGTGCTTATATGAACTTGACAATTAAACGTTATATATGCGAACGACTACGGCAATGAATATTATATAATTAAATGTCCTTACCGTGAACGCACACGCAAGCTAACAAGCCATCACAGGTCCAGTGCAGTGCTAATTAATTAAAAAGCGCCAGTGTTCACAGGTACCGTTGACGGATCCACACGGGAGACGGAACCATCGGGGCCATGGTTGCGTCTTGGAATATATACGTACCAGCAAACGACTGAAAAAACGTGAAGACGTCATTCATGAGCATTTCAGAACTCCATTTCACTTGCTGCTTTCAAAATTTAATGATGACTATAGGCCTTCAAATTGCCGTCACACATACCGATACATACCGGACCCAAATAAGTTGTTCACATCACTTCACAGACCGCATCGTGCTCTCTCCGTTTGTCCATTCCTCGATCCTCCAATGTGTACGGTATATACGACATGGAGTGAATGCATGTAGTACAGTACGCGTCGTTTAGGTGTCTTGTGTTTTGCCTGGCTGTCCGAAATGGATGGATGTTGTAGGGTTGTCTTGGTTATCGGTCTGAGTGAAGCAAAAGACGGCGAAAATAGTACATCAGTTTCATTTCGGCGCGTGAGAAAATGCGCGCAGAAGTAATAGCAATTTAACGGAAAAACGGCAATGACCACTAACTTGCCAAGTATCGGTCTGAAATTACGGTCAAGCTGAAATTATTTTTGACGGTAAATGTTAAATATTGAGCCTGCCATAAAATTTATTCAAGTAACGCACCCTGGTACCTCGGATTAAAACAGTTGCATGCCAAGTATTACTTACTAAAATTTGCACCTGCGACTCCCATTATGGAAAATAAAAGCAGACCATAGAGATATTGTTAGGTTAATGCGCTCCGGTTATAGCGTGGGTATTCTTCCTTCATTGGACAGGGTTCCACTGGGACATACTCGCACATTGCTTGTCTGAATATGGACGGAGCAGCATATATGCAGCATATGCATAGAGGTTATTATGCCTAATGTTACGTCCTGGTGTGAGAAACTATCTGCCGCCGCTACACCATAGCGCGCGTATATATTTAGAAATTAAAATATAGTATACAAACACTGTTACAATGAAAACATTTTCCTCAGGAAGTTGTATATAAAGTCCAGTTTCTAATCGGTGTGATTTTCACCGAATCGCGCCGAAAACTGACGAGTTATGCCCTTGTGTCACACAGGCACTTGGAGCGTTTCAATAAAATATAATGCTAAATAAATACGAAATCTATTT